GTCTGTTTTTGTGAAGAAGGATTCTAACCCTTGAGAGAGGGCGGATTTACGCAAGAAATGACAGGAGCGAAACAGACACAGAAACACGGAAAATCAGGTCAACACCATTCAAGATCTCACGAGGACTTCGACCGCTCGCCGACAGTCAGGGGAGATGGAAGGCAATTAAATAGTGGAAATCATGTATATAAATCCAGTTCTGAAAATAAGATAAAAAATTTACTCATACATCAAGATGGAAGTCCACAAAAAGTTTTGAAATGTTTCTACACGAACTCTGATTCCGTTTTGAACAAAGGATATGAACTTTTAACTGTGATCTAACTAGTGCATAGACATTAATTGTATTACAGAGACACTCTCCAAAAATCGCGGGGGGAAAATTTTGCCAGTTGAATTTCAGTTGCCAGGTTTTGATTGCTTTCATAATTTAAACGAAGAGCAGTGTAGTAGAGGTGTAGCTCTGTGGGTTAGAACCTTTTATGGGGCCCAACGAGTTAAGTTATCAGCAGAGCACCAATTAATCAGCTAGAGAATCAGTGTGGTGTGAGCTTTCTCTAAAAAACGGATGGCCTCCTAATAGGTGTCCTGTATAGATCACCCAACAGTTCCTCTGATAACGCTAAAGTACTGAACAGTCGTCTACCAAGCATGACTTTCAGCTGGTCGCATACGTTAATCGTTGGTGTCTTTAACCATCCTGAAATAGACTGCGCACATGAATCCTCTCCGAGGGATAAGAATCACCCTTCATCCTTGTTCATGGAGTCCGTGAGAGACTCATTTTTATACGTACCAGCACATCACAAAGCCAACCCATTTTAGAGGTAATCAGACTCCAAATACTCTAGACCTAGTGTTTACTAGTGAAGAATCAATGGTAGAAGAGCTTCGCCACGAGGCTCCGTTGGGCAAAAGTCACCACCAGTTATTGTTTTTCAGTATTAAGTGCTATACAGAAAAGACACCTCGGAAGTGTGAACGTTTCAACTTTGCGAAAGGCGACTATGTTAAACTTCGTGAATCAGTGAGTGCAGCGAACATTTCGGGCTGTATCATGAACATGAATGTGGCGGAGTCTTGGTCATTCATCAAGAACATAATTATGTCTGCCGTTGATGCGTGTGTACCTAAGATAAAGCTTGATGGAGTCAGAAAAACACAGTGGATGAACAATACGGTTAAAGCAAAGCCAAAGGCAAAGAAAGAAGCCTATAAGCGTTATTTACGAACTCGGAGCGATGCTGAGTATAACCTGTATGCAAGAGCTCGAAATCAAGCTAAAAAAGCTTGTCGCACCACAGTCAACAAATTTGAATAAGACGTTGCCAAAAACTCGAAAAATAACCCGAAAGCCTTCTTCTTGTATGCTAGTTCGAAGTGTAAGACAAGGGACAGTATTGCTGATTTGAATGTAAATCAACGGAAGATATCTTCTGAGGAAGGCAAGGCCAATGTTCTAAATCAGTTCTTTAGCAGCGTCTTCACAGATGAGGACTTGAACAGTATTCCAGCTGTTGAGGAGCGACCAGTGGATTCGAAGTTAACTAGTTTCGAGATACATGAAGAGGAGTTTCTCAAGCGTCTGGTCTCCCTGAATCCCAACAAGTCATCTGGATCAGACGGTTTCCACCCTAGATTGCTCAATGAATTAGCAACCGTCCTGGCCGGCCCTTTAAAAGTATTCTTTCGAAAAACCTTAATTGAAGGGACTTTGCCGGCCGACTGGAAAGAAGCCCATGTGACACCCCTGTTCAAAAAAGGTGACAGAAGTAACCCAGGTAACTACCGTCCTGTAAGTTTCACAAGTGTCGTGTGTAAGGTGATGGAATCGGTTATGAGAGATAGGATTATAGATCACTTGACTGTTAACCATCTTCTATCAGACTGTCAGCATGGCTTTATTGCTGGCAGATCATGCACCACTAATCATCTTCTATCAGACTGTCAGCATGGCTTTATTGCTGGCAGATCATGCACCACTAATCTCCTGTCTACCTTGAATAATTGGACTCGTCTGCTGGACGAAAGGGTGCCAGTGGATGCACTGTACCTCGATTTTGCCAAGGCATTTGATAGTGTTCCGCACGAGCGACTGTTACGTAAAGTGAATTCTTTGGGAATAGAGGGAAATGTACTCCAATGTATCAGGAATTTCCTAGTAGGCAGAAGACAACGCACTGAAACAAATCGGTGCGTAGAAACTACGCACCAAAGTGACTATCCCGGCTTGTTCCAAAACGAGTTGCCGAAGGCGTCTAAAACACCCCTCAGCCAGCCGGAGCGCGTAATTAAAAGCTACTCTTAGCGCTCAGTTATAAAGAGAAAACCTTAGTGAACTTACCGCCGACGCTTCTATGCATGCAGTATTGTGACGCAGAACTCCAAATATAATATAGCGGCGGCAATAGCGCATAGCATGAGAGAAAGACTGCCGGAAGTACATCATTTTATTAGAATACGACAATATGAGTATCGCGTCCACTATAGCTATGTCTCAAATGCTAAAATTGTTAGCGTTTGAGATAAATTTAAATTCAAATTAATTACTCAACAATACAACTGTAATAATTCGTATGCAATATATAGCCTAGGATTTTAACGTGCCCTTCGTGATATTACGGGGTAACAACTCCGAAGAAAATACATGGCATCGATTGCTTTATAAAATGAAATATTTATTGAAATTCCTACATGGCTCTTCACAACGCAGCTCTCTGAACGTGTCCCTTCTTGTTGAGATATGACCGGATTTAGGTATACTTTTTTTATCGTGACAGTTACATTATATGAGCATATTATTCCAATTAGCTGCATTATTATATATAGACATATTATTTGCAACCCTATAATTTCACTTACCTCCGATTCTCCGGTGGAAGAACCATAGCCGACCGTAGCAGGATTCAAACCCGGGCTCGCTGCAGCAGACCGCGCGAAGCCTTAGTTCACTTGACCACGTAGAGCGCATGCATTGCAAATTAAAATAAGCCATTTAACCTAACTTTCTACATCATGGCTGAAAAGGCACTCATGTGCCTATATTTTCTAGATATCATTTATTTCTGTTATTCTTTCGAGAAGAATAATTAAACTTGTGGAATGTTTAGAATCTCCATCATCTGCTATCACAACTTGCAGGTCGCGTGCTATCGCAGGGTTGCATTACTGGTAGCATGAAAAATTGATCGACATTGTACGAGGTGTTGGTGTTTAAGCATTCCTCGCAACGCCAAAAATTATTACTTGACTTTATTTGGGATAGGTAGAAATAGAATTGTTATGTAACTTATTTTGCTAAAATCATGTCAATGATATAAGCTCCAGGTTAATCTTATGTCACACTTTTCATATACATTATTAGAAATAATTAACAAGTTTGAATTAACTGTCAATGATCTGTTACCTGGCTCACCAGTAACACAGACTGTAATCGAACTGTGGTATGTTTCATAACCAATATGACTTCTAAACCGCCTCTGTATTCGAGGAAACAAAACACCAACGATAAAAACTATAAAGCATGTGTATGTCGTACGTCTGTTTAATCACTAATGCATGACATATTCAACTAGTTATATTATCACTATTATTAAGTTGATTTAAGCTATTATCAATTTTTGTTAACTATTAAATTTGAACTTGCATGTAAATTTTCGGCTTTCATTATTGGTCCTGCCATGATGTCATCAGCCTATAGCAGCAGTGGCTGTCTGTGGCTGAGCAAAAATTAGAGAAAACGGCGAACGAACTGTTGAGAAAACAGCGAACGAAGTTTCGGAATGATTCGTTTTGCTACATTTAGCGTTTAGCTAGTGGAGATGTCTGCAACTAACGCACCGACTTGTTTCAGTGCGTGTCAGCATTAACGGAACCGTATCAGACTGGGTAACTGTGCGCAGTGGCGTACCGCAAGGAAGCGTTCCTGGACCTGTTTTGTTTGTCGCTTTTATAAACGATCTACCAGAAGTAGTGTCAAGCGTGTGCTCCATGTATGCCGATGGCACAAAAGTTTATAATACAGGATGCGTCAAATAAAATGCAACTGCAAAATGATCTTGATAGTTTGGTTGACTGGGCTGATGCGTGGCAGCTGCGTTTCAATGCTGACAAGTGTAAAGTACTTCACCTCGGCAAGAACAATGAACAGCAAGCTTACAGCATGAGAAGACACGGTTGCAACGAGAGGGTTATGATTGAGAAGTCTTGCGTGGAAAAAGATCTTGGAGTTTGTGTTGACAAGGAGCTAAAATTATATAGGCATATTGAAACGCTAGTTAATACATCCAATAAACTGCTTCAGACGCTCCTACGAGTACATAGATATAGAAATGATGAAGTTGTTGTTCACCTCTGTCGTGCGCCCGAACTTAGAGTTTGGAAACGTTGTGTGGTCACCGAAACTTGAAAAGGACAAAAATTTAGTTGAGAGTGTTCAAAGACGTGCAACAAGGATAATTCCGGAATTAAAGGGCAAGTCTCATGAAGAAAAATTGAAGATTATGAAGCTTCCCAGTCTCCGTTTTCGTCGCCTGCGTGGTGACCTCATTGAAGTATTCAAGTATACTCAGGGTTTGTACAAGGTCCCAGAAGGATTACTAGAATTTGAAACAAGAACCAACACCAGGGGCCACAGCTATAAACTAAAAAAACTGCGGTGCAACTTATCCACGAGACAACATTTCTCCTCGCTTTGAGTCACCGACATGTGGAACAGCCTCCCTGAAGATATTGTTGACGCTCCGAGTATGACTAGACTAGACAAGGCGAGAACAGACTAGACAAGGCTATACAGGAGCATATGTTTAGTCTTAAAATGCCTCGTACCCTACGGAACAACTGATACCTAGAAGCGATTTTAAATCTACCGTCAGTTGAAAAGATTTCATCAAAAGGCCAGTCTAGTCAAGAAAAGTACAAGAATCGGCGGCAGGCCTATCCAGGCCTATTCTATAATGCCGAAGATACTATACTATACTATACAATTTCCTGTGTTTACAGTGGCCGCCTAGATACTGTGTACGGCTCTCCTGATCAAGTCCTGGCCTACTTACACAAGCGACATCGCGAGGCAATGCAGAGAGGTAGATTGTCTCCTAAGATTAATTTATATTTTAGCCGAATTATTTCTGATTCATTCTAATTGCTATAAATTATTGTTTTATCTGTTGAATTTTTAAAAATTAAATAAAGAGCGGTAACTGTTATGGATCACGAACTTGTTCAAATAAGTTGAATAAATAAATTATTTGAACATAAAAATTTAATATTTTTTGGCAACTTAACTCAGACTTAGTGTGAAAGATAGATTCACGGCTCCCAAACTCAAAACAGAGGAAACTAGAGCTGGGCCATGCAAGATCGGTGTACGTTTTGACAGCTACTACAACGTCTTGGCAGTTCAAGCTTTACCAAGGCAAATTGGTAAGTTTTGGAATATTTAACCATAAGTTGATGTTGATCCCTACGTTGTAACTGATGGAGAAAATAGCTGATTCTGAAGCCAGCAAGCGACCTTGCCGTTTCTTGGCAACGATGCGTGACGGTGGTGGAGGAATAGTAGCACAGATAATATTCCAATGCATTGCAGTATCATAATTTATTACTTTTTAAAGTCAATAACCACGCTACAGCACAAGTTTACATAATTTACTGAGAGCATAACTTAATGAAACAAACACGTCCCTGTCATCTCTATCAATTGGCCCGTTGAAGAGGTCGGAGGCTTTTATTAACCATCGTCACTGCGGAGACAATGAACAATGCAAACTGACTTAGACATATTGGCCTGGATGATCTGCATATTGAAAAGAAAGTTCGATTCGTTACCTAAACATTGCCACAGGCCATCATGCAATTTGCAGCCAACTAACGTTGCAGGATGTAAAAAAACAGCTATCAGGGTAGGCGTCTTCAATGTAAGTTTGAATCATTAGTAGTCTCGGTTAGAAGTCAATTTCTTTGCGCTGAATTTTTTCCTTTCATCAGTAATTGTTAGAAGCAATCGTCAAAATTCGCGTTGGGCGCGTCATTACCGTCAAAATTATGGATCTTTGATTGACTGATTATCACAAAGATTTTTAATACGGAATAGAAGGATGTATTAGCTGAGAAAATCTTTTTTGTTCATTCGTGCCCGGCCTGTTCTCCAGACGATGTTTATTGCGTACGAGGAACGTATCTCACCGTCAGTTCATCCTCAAAGGATGAAATAACTCCCGTCATCCCTGTCAGCTCATTTTTTCGGAGGAAAGGTTTTAGAGTCACCCGCTGGCACTTCCCAGACCTCTGCGATGAGGACTTGGACTGGATGATCGGCATCCTGCTCAAATTCAGGGATTCTTGGTGCGTATGAATAAATTCAATTTGAATTAATTAGGATTCTCATTCTTGCAGTTTCTGTTACTCTAGCACTTGCCATTCGAGCACTTAGAATTTGTCTTTTCCGAAATGAATTGATATGATGTTGAGAGACACTTTAACACGTTGACTACGATTGTTTCATCTTGTACTATTATTTCATTTTTTGTACTGTTTTTAAACAGGGTTGCCAGACGGTTATTTTTTCCGGACAAATTCCGTGATTTAGTTTTTCTAAATTGCGTTGGCCGGCTAAAATTTATGATAGGGGTACTTCCGAATTAAATTTTAAGTACTGGAAAAAGAAAATAAATGGAATTTTTATAGCGGAATCTACAAATAAACTTGTATATATTGGGTTATCGGCCTTTTTTCCCTTTTTGGCCTTTTTTATTCTCGGATTTGGCCGATTTTAGGCAACCTGAATTATGCACCACTTCGTCCTGGAGAAATACATTTCGTGGTACGCATATGTACCACTTCGGAGTAAACGTGTTAAATATTTCAAAAACAATTTTTTGACATAACGACATTATAAAAATTGCAATGTGTTAAGTTTCTTATATAATATCTTGTGAGGTGCCCGGCGCTTTCGGTATAGCCTCGAACTCCTTATATTTCCAATATATAGGAGGTAAAGGGGTATATAAAATTGGAGGCTATATAGGCCTCCAATTAAAGCTGGTGTAGCCAACTCGAATGATTCATTCAGTCATTGACTGAATGATTCATTCAGTCATTGACTGAATGATTCATTCAGTCAACACCACATTCAGTCGATACAATGTAAATGCATTGTAATGCAACTTTACGAAAATTCTGCCTCAGGTTTCCGGAAAAAAAGGATTATTACTTTGTTCTTTAAATGATTACCATAGCCTGCGTGTGGTCTTACCGAGAAATGGCCTCACCGCTACGGGCGCTCGTCGGCTGTTCGAGGAGCTCCCCCAAATCCGGGAGGTATACCACGACCCTGGCGCGGCGCTCCTGACGTCAGCTGGCAGTGCACCTGATCTCACCTTCATCGAGTTGTCAACGAACAACATCATTCAATGGCTGTAAAATGCTGCGGCGTGACAGTAGGTATGTCACGGCAGGAATCTAACACGGTATATATGATGCATTTGTTCAATGTTTACCTTGAGTATAGAAGGCTTGAAGGGAGGAATATTGAAGCAAGAATCGCAGGGTCTTTCCTAACGGAAGGTACCAGGCAGAAATGTGTTGAATCAACGCGAGTTATAGCAGTATTTACTGATGATTTCGAGCGTGAATTCCATATTTTTAGATTTCTTGTTGAAAAAACGTAGGTTAGCAATTTACTGTTTGTAAAATTGTATGATTATTTTAGAGAATGGTAAAAAAATTAAGAAAAGAAGCGCGTAAAATGGTGAGAAATTTACTTAATTTACTTACGTGAGGTTTACTTTAGTATAAATGAGTCCCATAAAATACGCATCATACTTCGAAGTACCAATAATATTTATAAAAAAAACCTCCAATATTCATGACAATTGATAATAATTGTGTATTTCTTTAAATAAACGTGTATTTGTAAATCTTAAATAAACGTACCATACGTATAAATACGTTTATAATATAAATAAACGTATTAAAAACGTATTTCTTAAATAAACGAAAACACTGGAAAAACAAGGTTGATGGAGGATAATCAACTAGGCTATTGAACTATTGGTATTTCTCAATATATGGCATCTATTTCTATTTTCTTTTTATTTGAAATAATAAAAAAAGACTTGAACTTCAAAGTGGAAGAATTTTTTCACTAGCATAGATGCTCAAGACGAGTTTTTTATGTATAAATATGATATTACTTAGATCCATGTTTATCTTTCGTTATTTAACTTTGAATGCATAATGAAGAACTTGTTAGTGTTCACAATTTTTGAACCAACATTAGTTGCCAAGTTTTCTCTAAAACTGTCACAAATGGAAAAAATACTTGTAATAAGTATAATGAATATATGAAAAAGTAAATTAATTGACTCGAAGGCTTACAAAACCCCCTAGAATGTCAGTATGCTAGACGTGACTTATAATGAAGTGAATGGAATCAATACAAAAGTAAAAACAAATAATGAAGGTCTTTCAAACGAAAATTTCAATATTTTTTAATGCTAAAAATTGTATTCTACTTATCGGGTTTTTTGTGCGGTTAGTGGACTGCAAATTCACGGGCAAGATAATTCGAGACCTGACCTGCTCTTCAAGACATTATCACTGGCGGCCATGCGGTGATATGCAGAGAAATTGTAAAAGAAATACTTTTCAAAATCATTTTAATCATACGGTTTATTGAATGTTACAGTGGCAGTCTATTGTGTTTTATATTTTTTTCTGTATAACGATCACACAACAGTGGTTTACGAACAAGGATTTGGTTGGTACAACAATATATTGTTATTCAATTATTACAGTAACTTGAGACGAATTTTAACAGTGATTGCATTTTATCCTGTTTAAGTGATATACCCTGGGATCACCTGCCCATTCGAATGAGACTCCACGAGTGATTAAATTAAAATAATGAACGGAATAAATATTCACGGTTAAGTTCAATTATTGAACACATCACGTCTTTTTCTATTCTATTAACCATGTCAGCGTTAGGACTCAAAATCGCGTCGCATCAAGGGTTTGTGAAGTGAAGAGTTTGTTGTCATTGACTTGAAGCGCCAGTCGAGTCGTTCCCTCGAAATCTTCGTATCCTTGCTACCAAAATACACGGTTGATTTACACGCCAGGTTGACCAAAACTGATTTTGAGGCAACCGTGCATTAGAATAGGTTCGACATTCTCTTTAGTTTAATATTTTTAACATTTGTAGTATATTAATATCTACAGAATAATAATTAGTGTAGTTAGGCAGAAGTTCTTCCTTTATACAGGTTTGATTGAAGACCAGAGCGTACTTTTTATTAACAACTTTCTTATTATTTTTTTCGATGAGCCGAACGAAATTTCTTGCAGGTGCTTGGAGATCAAAAAGCAGATTACCAAATGACATTTTACTGGAATGCGACGTTTCGAATATATCAATATTCATTATCAAGCAAGTGAACAGTTATTACAACGCTAAAAATTGAAATTTGGACATGACATAAGCTGTCTCTTATACACATCTAGATGTGTATAAGAGACAGGGTATAACTGACTAGTTTTTTGGAAAATGGTCGTTTCTTTTTGATACATCCTGTATGATCATGACTATTGACAGCTGTGCGATCAGACAAGTCTGTGGTCTTGACAAGTCTTCATTTGCGCAGTTCGACTGCACCAACACACTGAACGACCAACTGCTGGAGGACGTGAGCGTCGTGGTGGAGGAGGACGGCTCCAACTGGCAGATCCTGCAAACCCTTCCATGCGCCTCTCTGCCCTACTCCTGCCCCGGCACCTGCTACGTGCTCCTCGCCATCCCTGAGGACATTATGAGCACCACAGGTACGGCCTGCCATGCGCCTCACTCCTGCCTCGGCATCAGCTACGTACGTGTCAGGATCTCGACTGTAACTGTTACTATTTCTACTGTAGTCTTTACTTTGCCGCCTGAAGTTCCTAATAAAGTGTTTGCTAATTATTCTCGACTGCCCAGGCACCTTCACCGCGTGCCTGAAGTTCCAAGTGCGCGACTGCGACCCCATCACCGGCGAGCCCGAGACCGAGGATGGCTATGGCGACGACTACACGGTAAAGTTCCTTTATTTTGTCGCGGCATTCCGCTCTAACTTTTGACTACTTAGTTATAAAACCCTTTGGCAATTTTTATTATTACCTAATTTATTATAAATTGCAATAATAATAACTATCCATAAGCTAAGATTAGCCTATTCTGGCCTAATTACTATTCCTACGGGGACCATTTCGGTCACAGAAAAACTTAATTTTACACACATACGTACCTAAAATGTAAAATAAAAAACAATTTGCTCGTATTTCTTTTTTCAGAAAATAAAGAAAACAGCAAAAAGGGGGGTACTATAAAAAACTTATGACTTTTGCAAATCACATGCTGCTATGTCGAGACACATATCATTCGATTTGTAACTAANATTACATGTAAAGATAGATCCTTGTAATGCAAACATTCCAGAGTAACTCGGATGGAAAATATGTTCATGAATAAAGAAGTGTAATAACAATTACATGTAAAGATAGATCCTTGTAATGCAAACCTTCCAGAGTAACTCGCATGGAAAATATGTTCAAGAATAAAGAAGTGTAATAACAATTACCTGTAAAGATAGATCCTTGTAATCCAACCATTCCAGAGTAATTCGCATGGAATATATGTTCAAGAATAAAGAAGTGTAATAGCAATTACCTGTAAAGATAGATCCTTGTAATGCAAACATTCCAGAGTAACTCGCATGGAAAATATGTTCAAGAATAAAGAAGTGTAATTAAATTACATGTAAAGATAGATCCTTAATCCAACCATTCCAGAGTAACTCGGATGAAAAATATGTTCATGAATAAAGATGTGTAATAACAATTACATGTAAAGATAGATCCTTGTAATTCAAACATTCCAGAGTAACTCGGATGGAAAATATGTTCAAGAATAAAGAAGTGTAATTACAATTACATGTAAAGATAGATCCTTGTAATCCAACCATTCCAGAGTAACTCGGATGGAAAATATGTTCATGAATAAAGAAGTGTAATTACAATTACATGTAAAGATAGATCCTTGTAATGCAAACATTCCAGAGTAACTCGGATGGAAAATATGTTCATGAATAAAGAAGTGTAATAACAATTACATGTAAAGATAGATCCTTGTAATGCAAAC